CTGAAGCTTGACACTATCCTTGCTATCAATCCCAGATCCTATATAATGCCATAAAAGGACTTGGTTGCCTGGGGCTAGATGTATAAAACCCTTCAAAAATAGTTTAATTGTCCAGTCCTGACCAGTAACTAGTTTATCTGCTGGAGGCAGCTATAGAAAGGAATCCTGGTATAGGTATGATTTGATTAACACTTTATTCTCCCCAGATTTCCAAGGCCTGTGACTGTGGAGCCCATGGACCAGTTAGATGATGAAGAAGGACTTCCAGAGAAGCTGGTTATAAAGAACCAGCAATTTCATAAGTATGTAGTCCTGAAAGGTTCCCTGTTCAGTGTTTGCCTATTCGTAAGGAATCCTGTAAAGGGATGTGTAAAAGAAGCAGGTCTTGGTTATGTGTTCACTGGCAGCCATTATCTTGGCCCTCAGGAGGAATGTAATACTTAGTGGAGGGGACCTTAGGCAAAGTTGTTAACCCAGGAACTTTGTCTATAGGGAACGAGAGCAGCCGCCCAGATTTGCACAACCTGGCTCCTTTGAGTATGAGTATGCCATGCGCTGGAAGGCACTCATTGAAATGGAGAAACAGCAGCAGGACCAAGTGGACCGCAACATCAAGGAAGCTCGTGAGAAGCTGGAGATGGAGATGGAGGCTGCTCGCCATGAGCACCAGGTCATGCTAATGAGGCAGGGTGAGTGTAGACCTGTAAGTCTTACAAATAAAAGGTCAGAATAACTTTTTTTTAAAGATTGATTCATTTATGCATTCAAGAGCTGGGGTACAGGCAAGAGATGTGGGGTGGGGGGGATGAGAGGATTCACCAGAGACAGTGGGGAACAGAACAGGCAGACTGACTGAAATACACTGCTGAGGGGAGCAGTGGGTGAGACAGGAGAGGTCTGCTGTGCCATGTGGGTTGTGGATTGCTTCGTAGTGTGGTGCTTAACCCCTTGCACCACCAGGGAGGCCCCCAGAATAACTTTTTAAAGGAATTTCTTTGTATTAGTCAAGAGAGGGCTCAATCTACTTTGGTTCTGAAATATTTTGTTGATTTTGGTAGTCAAATAAGCTTGGAGATAGTAACAGAGAGAATACTGGATTCTGTGGAGAAAGAAATAATAGGAATGAGGTAATTCCTATTAATAGGAATAATAGGAATGAAATAAATAAAAGAAATGAAATAATTTGACTTCATTTTTTGAGTTTGGGTAATTTAGATGGCCAAACCGGGGTTTTTGTATCCACTTTGCTTTCTGGATCTTTAGGGTAAAGTATTGGTCTTTATGAGGAATGAAGGATACTTTTAATTAGTTTGTTTCTCTAGATTTGATGAGGCGTCAAGAAGAACTTCGAAGGATGGAAGAACTGCATAATCAGGAAGTGCAGAAACGAAAGCAGTTAGAGCTCAGGTAACTTTTTCTCAAACCTTTTTTCTGTGACAACTCTGAAAGGTAATGTCTCTCTCTTGTTTCTGACCACCATGCTGCCTCACTGTCTACATGGGTGGTCTTCATGAAATTTTTGTAATTTGTAAATATGTTGGCATATGTTTCTTGACTGCCTCTAAAGTCTTGCCTTTGTTTGGGAGAGATGTTTTAGATTTGAGGAGTTACTGGGGCTACACTGAAACGAAAGCAGCTGAGTATTGGTCTCATGAGACTCCTTTGGGAAAAGAGAACTTTTTTCTCCTGATAGATACATTGTGTTGCTTTTAGGGTTGGGCACACTTAACAGTGAGTTTCCTGGAGAGCTGTGGTCATTTTCAGTATGATTTCCTTGACTGAGTCCCTTATAACCTGCTCAGGTTCTGGAATGCCTCTGCTTAAATACTTTGACTCTCTGTAGGCAGGAGGAAGAGCGTAGGCGCCGTGAAGAAGAGATGCGGCGACAGCAGGAAGAAATGATGCGGCGACAACAGGAAGGATTCAAGGGAACCTTCCCTGATGCGGTATATCTCCCATAAGCCTATGATGTACCAGGCCAGTCATGACATGACAGACCCACCGTGAATTGTTCACTGGAACTGTAGAATATGATCAATATTTTCTAGTTTATGAAACTCCTTGTAAAAAGAATTTAGAAAGATAATGATTGTAGGGCCATTCTTCTTGCCTTAAAGGCAATTTATGATGAAAAGCTGGGACCATTATATGCTATTTAGACCCAGATATAGCCAGTCATATAGCAGCCTTCACTAGTTGTCTGCTGTCCTCACAGTTGTCCAGGTTAGAACTGTAGAAGAAATCAGTTCCTTTTCCCTGTTCCTTTCCCAGCTCCTATTCCTAATATGAGGCCTTGAGTTTGTGTTTTGGTAGCTTTGACCTTGAACTCACTGCGCAACTAGCAAGGAGTTGCTGGTGTGTTCCTCAGTGAGGGTTCAGAATTCTTGGGATGTGTTATCGTTATCTCTTTTCCTTAGTGTGTGATCCTCCATGGATTGTGGTAGAATGCAGTACTGTTTTGGGCTATCTTGGGTGTTTTTTGTTTTTCAGAGAGAGCAAGAGATACGGATGGGCCAGATGGCTATGGGAGGTAAGGATTTAGCGGGGTAACAGCTTTGATTTCCTTTTTTTGTCTCATTTCTGGTGAACTATGTAGCTTTTCCTACTTAGTCCTGATTTAAGGGGCTGACATTTCCTGGAGCACCATTTTGGGGGAGGGGTATGACATATCTTAGCCCAGAGGTCTAGTTGAGTTGTTTTCTTTGGTGCAGAAAGAGATGAACAATCTCTTGTACTGATCACACTACTTTGCTTTAGGTGCTATGGGCATAAACAACAGAGGTGCCATGCCCCCTGCTCCCGTGCCAGCTGGTACTCCTGCTCCACCAGGACCTGCCGCTATGATGCCAGATGGAACCTTGGGATTGGTAATAAATTATAGAGCCTTACAGTAACTGTATATGTTGACAGGAAGGAGAAAGATCTTTGCCTTTACAGTTCCTAGGACTGCCATAACTTTGCTACAGATTTATCAGTCTTTGTGACTGCTAGAATTAATCCATGAAATGTAACCTTAAGGTTTTTATTTTTGAATTTTTGAACTAACAGTCTCAAATTATACTTTATCTAGGAGTCTGTATGACTGGTCAGTCATATTGACTGTTAAGTTGCTACCCTGGGTGAATAGGTTTTTTTGTTTTTTTTTTTTGTGGGACCCTTGCCGGTGCTGGGGAATGAACCGGCGCTGCAGAGGCTGTGGGCAGCCTCGCAGCCTAGTGCTCAACCGCTGCGCCACCAGGGGAGGCCCAGGTTCTATTTTTGAGGGAAGGCAATGAAGGTTAGGTATTATAACATAAGGGGCCTCCCTTGTGGCACAAGGGGTTTAGTCTCAGCACTATGAAGCTATCAGCAGCCACTGCAGCACGAGTTCGATTCCCAGCCTGGGAGCTGATGCACATGGCACAGCAGACCTCTCCTGTCTCACCCGCTGCTCCCCTAAGCAGTGTGTTTCAGTCAGTCTGCCTGTTCTGCTCCCCTCTCTGTCTCTGGTGAATCCTCTCACCCCCCACCACCCCACATGCCTCTGGCCTACACCCCAGCTCTTGTATGCATAAATAAAGCTTTTTAAAAAATAAAGTATTATCACATAAAATACGGCTGTTTGTAGAATTCTAGGTTGAATTTAGTTTTAGTTGGATAGACACAAGATTGCTGAAGAGTAATGGCCTGCCCTTGTCCACATACCAAGCTATGGCACAAAGACTTAACTAAAACTTATGCCCCCTAGGAATTTAGTATGTAATAATGTTTGGCAAATAGGGATAGGGATGAAAAGTTACAGATAGATGATTGAGTGGATCCATAAATCAGGCAACCTTCCTTTAAGAGATAACTGCTAGAATTCTAAATAGGCTTAGTCACCTCTAACGTCAGGATCCTTGAATAGATGGGTGGTAATGGCTTCCAAGGAAGGGTTACAGAAGAACATACATTCTATTGTAACACTGTTCTCTTTTTCTCTCTTTAAGACTCCACCAACCACTGAACGCTTTGGCCAAGCTGCTACAATGGAAGGAATTGGGGCGATTGGTGGAACCCCTCCTACATTCAATCGAGCAGCTCCTGGGGCTGAATTTGCTCCAAACAAACGTCGCCGATACTAATAAAATTGCAGTGTCTAGTTTCCCAAAACCCTTAAAGAAAAGGACCCTTTTTGGACTAGCCAGAATTCTACCCTGGAAAAGTGTTAGGGATTCCTCCCAATAGATAGGTTTTCCCTGCCTGTACTACTCTAGGGAGTATGCTGGAGGCAGAGGGCAAGGGAGGGGTGATAATTAACAAATAAGTTCTGTGTGGTACATTGTTTAATCAGTTCTGTGTAGTGCATTCCTAAAGTCTCATGTGATTGTTGAGAGCCCAGGGGGAACATAACAAAATGGATCCAGTTAGAGCCCCAGTAATCTTGATCATTCCATGCTTTGTCCATCCTGTTTTATTTGCTTTCTCATTCTTACACTCTCCAACCCCGAAGACACTGCCACATACACCACGAAAACCAAACATCCCCCAATGACCTTAGCCCCATGCTCCATTCACTCCCAGGTGGGAATTCAGGCAAATGTCCACAGAGGTCACAGATAACATGCATACGGTTCTGTTATATCCCATATATTACCCCTTTGTGTCCTAAGGAAGACATTTTCTCTTAGAGATTTTCATTTTAGCATATCTTAAAAATAAATCTTGTGTTAACTTGCCTCCATCTTTTTCTTGGGTAAGGACATCCCAGGAATTGCCCTTTTGTGTCTATAATGTTGCTGATCACAGCTTTTCTTGATAGGCCTAGTACAATCTTGGAACAGGGTTGCTGTATGCTGAAGGTCAGACAGTAGCACTTGGCCTTGCCTATCTTAGGTAGTTATGCTGTGCATTTTTATTGGTGTACCATGTTTGATTTGTCCCTGATACCTTTGGAGTTTTTCTGAGATGGAGCAGTAATGCAGCATCAACTTATTAAAAAACATTTTAAGCCTTTTAATTTTCTGTGCTATTTTTGAAGGGGATGGGAGGGAGGTGGGGGAATTCTGTTCTCAGGAGATGATCACTGGGCTTTATGAAGATGATCCTTTATGACCTTTTGATTAAAGTATTAACCATCCATTAGGCCAACATGGAGCGGTCAGAGGCATAGTGGGGCTGAAGTGGTTGGCAAAGATCAGAATGACTGGCAATACAATTAAGGAGGGTGGCAGTCAAGAAGCCTGTTTTGAAAGCAAAAATGGGCTGGAGGAAATTGGGTACCCTCACTGAGCTGGGGCAGTCTCAAAATTTCCTGAGCAGCTGCTGGTACGTCAGAGGCTTGGAATTGGCATGGTAAATCTAAAACTGTCTCAGCAGTGGTTAGCTGACCTCATCCAAGTTCCAATTCCTACTCTGACTGATGCCTTTTTCCTGAGCCTCAGAGCTAAAGAGCCTCCTGTGTTCTTTCCTATTGGCTGGGAAGACCAATTGAAGTTCCCTTGCCCATGTTAGGAGGTGTACGCCTCCTGAACTAAAGATAGAAACAGCTGGCCCTTCCAAGCAGCTAAAAGCCTCCAGAGTAAGAGGTGTTCCCCCACTCGTCAGCCAGACTCCTTGAAATACCCTTTCAGTAATTCTACCAACACCTCCATGGCTCTACTCTGCCATAACAAAGGCTGTGGGCAGCACTTTGACCCCAATACCAACCTTCCTGGTGAGTAGACTTACCATGATCTGGTAGGTGTTAGGGGCCCTGTAGCTTTGGATGCTCTATTAAAGGAGCATGGAGAGAAATCTGGCGTACCTGCTTTAGTTTAATTGGTTTGGGTGATCTTTAATATTTACTGTTTTGTTTTTTTTTTTTTTACATTGAAAGAAATCATAAGCCTGGTATAAAGAGGTGAGTGATACTTGGTATAGATGCCTTTTCTTCCTTGATCCTTTCTACCTGTATCTACAGATTCCTGTTGCCATCACCCTGGGGTCCCAATCTTCCATGATGCACTTAAGGTGAGAAGGAGGGCATAGCAGTTCCCAAGGACATATGCCTGCTCGGTGGTCTAAGCTAAGCTGGTTCTCTTGTTATCAGGGTTGGTCCTGCTGCTGGAAGCGAACTGTAGATTTCTCTGAGTTCTTAAACATCAAGGTAAATTCTTGACTTCCTTGGATTCTGCCCCTAGTAGAAGGATTCTATCCCTAATCCTCTCCTTATCTGTACTAGGGCTGTACTGTGGGACCACACTCTGCTGAGAAGCTTTCTGAGGACCCTCAACCTGAGGGCCCTGCCACAAGCAGTTCACTTGAGGAGCAAAAACCTCTGAATACGTTTCCAAAGTCAGCAGAGACCTTGCGCCGGGAGAGGCCCAAGTAAAGAGGAGGCAATCCCTGGGTTTTCCCTACATCCATACAGCTTCTAGGCATGATTAATAGGTCACTGGGGTTTGGGAAGTAAGGACTAGAGGCATGAGGAGGGCCAGGTGTCAGGGCTTAGTGTATATTTTGTGCCTTAGGGGAAATTTGTATCTGGAAGTAATGGCCTTTGCTCTAAAGTGGCATGGGGTGATAGGATAGATATTTCAAGTCAACAGAGTAGATAGTCCCTCATGAATATATAGTTTCTACACAAAGGGGATTGTTGAGAATGACTTGATTTTTTTTTCCTTTCAGGAAAGAGCTTTAAGATAAGTTTTATATTAAGAAAAGGATGTAGTATGGGCAGCCTTGAGGCTGTAGAGAAGAATAAGTTAGAATTTTTGAAAATACAAGAAAGTTGTATTTGGTTCATAGTTAATTAGAGGAAGAGGAAATGATACAGTTCTGCAGAGAAATGAGGTTAGATTTAGAACAACTGAATATATGGACAAGAGAAGCCCTGAGGATTTCCTCAGGGTTCAGGAATTTGAGATGTCCACAGAAATGAAAATTGGCAATGGGGTGGCTACCCACTTTCACCAGATGACTTCTTCAACTCCATTACCACTGGTGGGAGTGTTGGAGCTGTCAATAATGGTTAATGGGTCAGAACTAAATCACCTCACCTATACCTGCTAGGTCAGAGTTGCCTCCAAAGCTGCTGCCACTAAACATATCCCAAGCATTGGAAATGGCATTGGAACAGAAGGAACTAGACCAGGAACCTGGAGCAGGTAAGTGGATCTTTAGTAGGACAGGCTTTGCAGACAAATTTAGTGAAAGTGGCAGTTGGGTAGAAGGAATGGATAGGTTCCTGACTCTGTTTCCCTTGCCCAGGACTTGACAGTAGTCTGATTCAGACTGGTTCCAGCTGCCAGAACCCAGGATGTGATGCTGTGAGTGAGTTTGCAGGGGGAGGCTCAGGCATGTGACTGAGAGATACTACACATGAGGATAACTGGGTATAGGTATGAGGCTGTATGGGGTATACTTAGGCATGGCGTGATTCTTTTCCTGATCCTGATTTATTCTTCTTAGGTTTACCAAGGCCCTGAGAGTGATGCTACTCCATGTACCTACCACCCAGGAGCACCTCGATTCCATGAAGGGTGAGGAAGGGGACTGTGTGGACTGTGAGACAAGTTTCTCCCAATGTTGATTGTAAGATGGGAGTGAGGGCTTGTGAGGAGGAGAAGGAAGAGTCAGTGGATCATCTTCTTATCTCAGGATGAAATCTTGGAGCTGTTGTGGCATCCAGACCCTGGATTTTGGGGCATTCCTGGCACAACCAGGATGCAGAGTTGGTAGACATGACTGGGGGAAGCAGGTAAGTCCCAACTTTCCTGAACTCTTAATTAGAATTCAGTTCCAGAAATGATTTCTTCTCCCTATACCTCATAGCCAGGTTCTATCTTCTACCTTTAGTATGGACCAAATAAGATTTTGCTTGTTATCCCTCAATAGCCTAGAGGCCTTGCAATATGAGGTAGTGTTAATCTTTCTGAGACTCTCTGTCTCTTCACACATCCCATGAGAACTCCCCTTGGGTTAAGAGTTCATTCTTACCACCCATATTTCACATTTTCTCTTTAGCTGCCAGCATCTTGTCGTCATGATTGGCACCAGACAGATTCCTTAGTAGTGGTGACGGTGTATGGCCAGATTCCACTGCCTGCATTCAACTGGGTGAAGGCCAGTCAAACTGAGGTAAGGAATGTCTGATACTAGATGGGAGGCTAGTGAATTGGGTGATACTACAATCTTACAGGCAGAGTTGCTGTATGCAGTTAATGTGTAGGTTCTGTAGTTCCCTGAGAGGAAGGTAGAGCTATTATTAGGTCAGGGTTATCTGGTTGACCTGTGGATGTTGGAATCACACCTCTGGCTTGGTTCTCTGTCATAATCACTTGTGCTGACCTGAGATTGTTACTATCCCTGTAATTCTTTTCTCTCAGCTTCATGTCCACATTGTCTTTGATGGTAACCGTGTGTTCCAAGCACAGATGAAGCTCTGGGGGGTAAGTGGAGATAAGGGGGCCCAGGAAGGGAAGGGAGATGGGGTGAAAAAAGGACCAATCTGGAATGAGCAGAGAGTGTCTTCAGGGAAGGAATTATAGGGAAAGTGGACTTTTTTTCTTCATTTGCTTTGATATTCTCTCCTCTCCATTTCTCCTTTTCCTTACTTCCTCTCTCTCCCTAACTATGTTGCTTTACAACTGCACTATCTTTTTTCCCTCTACCTTATACTTTAAAATTTTCTCACTGTCATTCATTACCACCCTACCCTGACCCAAATCCCTTTGATTTCCTCATTTTCTCTTTCTTCTGTGTTCTATCTTTCCCTCCTTCTCAGGTCATAAACGTGGAGCAGAGCTCTGTCTCCTTGATGCCATCTCGGGTTGAAATCTCCCTGGTCAAGGCTGACCCAGGGTCCTGGGCCCAGCTGGAGCACCCTGATGCAGTAGCTGAGAAGGCTAGGGCAGGGGTTGGATTAGAGATGGATGAGGAAGAATCTGAGGATTCAGATGATGATCTGAGCTGGACAGAGGAAGAGGAAGAGGAAGCGATGGGGGAATAGTTATATTAGACAGCTGAGTATCTTGATAGGACCTCAGTGACTCCCTGAAGATGTTAGAGACCAGGATATGTTGGCAGTGTGGTATTACTGAGCAGAAGGAGGCTGAAGGGAGGGGAGAACAAAAGTGTCCAAATCATGCTGTTTATTCCCTTAAATAAATCTTATATTCTGCAGTTTCACATAGTGTCGTTCTCTCACCTCACTAAGATCATATTCATTCCCTTAACTTCTGTGTGTGTTTAGCACGTGTGTAAAAACAAGCACATGCATATTCAACCTGTTTTTCACAGTGATTAAGCATTTCCTGAGTACTTAGTATGTGCCCTGTCATACAGGGGTTTAGAGATACCTGTGGAATAAGACTCATTCCTCTCAGGAAAATTAGATTCTTATTGACAATAAAACCCAGTCTACATCAAATAATAATAAACAATGTCAGGTACTTTAACTGAATGCTAAATTGCGAGTATAATTTTTAAGAGCTGCAGGAGATCAAGAGAATGGAGACATTAATGCTGACTGTAGTAGAAAAGGAAATCTCCATAGAAGAAATAAATTTTTTAAAAGATTTTATTTATTTATTTATACAAGCACTGGGTACAGTCAGAAGCATGGGAAGGTGAGAGAATTCACCAGAGCCAGAGCAGGGAGCAGAACAGGCAGACTGACGAAGTACACTGCTGAGGGGAGCAGCGGGCATGGCAGGAGAGGTCTGCGCGCCATGTGGGACCCTCGCCCGGCGGCCAGGGATCGAACCGTCGCTGCGGAGGCTGTGGGCATCTTTGCAGCCCAGCGCTCAACTGCTGCGCCACCAGGGAGGCCCAGAAATAAAATTTTTCACAGCTTTATTGAGATACAATTTACATATCATATAATATGAATGAAATTATACAATATGTGGTCTTTTGTGGTAGACTTCTTTCACTTTGCGTTACATTTTCTTTTTTAATTTATTTTTTAAGATTTATTTTATTTATTTATTTATGCATACAAAAACTGGGGTGTAGGCCAGAGGTGCGGGGTGGGTGGAGAGAGGATTCAACAGTCACAGGGTGGGGAGCAGAACAGGCAGATCCAGTGAAATACACTGCTGGTGGGAGCAGCAAGCAGGTCAGGAGAGGTCTGCTGCTCCATGTGTGTCACCTCCCAGGCCTGGGATCAAACTTGTGCTGCAGTGGCTGAGGATAGCTCCATAGTGCTGAGACTTAACCCCTTGCGCCATCAGAGGGCCCCCCAGCATTGTTTTCATGGTTCATCCATGCTGTAATGTGTATCAGTGCTTCGTTCCTTGTTATGGCCAGATAATATTCCACTGTTTGGATTACACCACATTTTGTTTATCTGTTCATCAATTGAGGAACATTTGTACTATCTTAATTTTTTAACTGTTATGAATAATACTCCTATGAACATTCACATGCAAGTTTTTATGTGGGTATGTTTTCATTTCTCTGAGATGTATACCTAGGATTGTAATTTCTGGGTCAAATGTTAACTTTAACTTTTTGAGGAAGTGCTAGACAGTTTCCCAAAGAGACAGCACCGTTTCACACTCCCACTAGCAGTGTTAAGAGGGTTCCAGTTTCTCTGCATCCTTGATCACACTTGTTATTATCTACCTTTTTTATTATAGTCTCCCTTGTAAATATGAAGTAAAATTGCATTGTAGTTTTTTTTTTGTTTTTTGTTTTTTTTAATTTTATAGAGGCATGTTTATTTATTTATTTGTTTGTTTTGTTTATACATGCACTGGGTACAGTCAGAAGCGCGGGAGGGTGAGAGAATTCACCAGAGCCAGAGCGGGGGCAGAGCAGGCAGAAGGACCGAAGTACACTGCTGAGGGGAGCAGCGGGCGGCAGAAGAGGTCTGCGCGCCATGTGGGACCCTCCTCCGGTGGCCGGGGAGCAGCCGGGGATCGAACCAGCGCTGCAGAGGCTGCGGGCAGCTTCGCAACCCAGCGCTCAACCGCTGCGCCACTGGGGAGGCCCTGCATTGTAGTTTTAATTTGTATTTTCCTGATGGCTAATGATGTTGAGCATCTTTTCATGTGCTTATTGACCATTGCGTATCTTATTTGGAGAAATGTCTATTTACATTCTCTACCCATTTATTAACTAGGTTATCTTTTTATTGAATTGTAAGAGTTCTTTTAATGATTTATTTAGGCATACAAGAACTGAGGTGCAAGCCAGAGGTGTGGGGGGTGAGAAGATTCACCAGAGACAGAGTGGGGAGCAGAACAGGCGGATTGACCAAAATACACTGCTGAGGGGAGCAGTGGGTGAGACAGGAGAGATTTTCTGCACCATGTGGGTAGCTCCCTGGCTGGGGATTGACTTGTGCTGCTGTGGCTGTGGATAGCTTCATAGCCTGCGTCTCAATCCCTTGCGTCACCAGGGAGGCCCGAGAGTTTTTTTTAAATATACTAGAGACAAATCTCTTGTCAGATATTATTTACGAATATTTTCTCCTATTCCATGTGTTGTCTTTCTACTTCCTGAATGATATCCTTTGTTACACAGAAGTTTTTAATTTTTATGAAATCCAATTCATCTGTTTTTCCTTTTGTTACCTATGCTTTTGATGTCATATCTAAGAAATCACTGCCTAATCCAAAGTCATGAAGATTTACTCCTGTGTTTTCTTCTAAGAGTTTTTTTTTTTTTTAAGATTTATTCATGCATACAAGAACTGGGGTGTACGCCAGAGTTGTGGGGGGTGAGAGGATTCACCAGAGAAAGAGTGGGGAGCAGAACAGGCAGACTGACTGAAATACACTGCTGAGGGGAGCAACGGGTGAGACGGAAGAGGTCTGCTACACCATGTGAGTTAGCTCCCTGGCTGGGGCTTGAACTCATGTTGTAGTGGCTGCTGATAGCTTCATAGAACTGTGTCTTTAACCCCTGCGCTACCAGGGGAGGTCCTTCTAAGAGTTTTATAAAAATGTTTTTAGCTCTTATATTTAGGTCTTTGACCCATCTTGAGTTAATTTTTGTATGTGATATGCAGTGGGGTCCAACTTTACATTTTTATAATATAGATATCCAGTTGTCCCTAAACCATCTGTTGAAAGACTACTCTATTTCTCATTGAATTGTCCTGGCACCTGAGTTGAAAATCAATTGACCAGGGCCTCCCTGGTGGTGCAGGGGGTTGAGCACAGCCCTGTGAGGCTGTCTGCGCCTTTGAGGCACAAGTTCAATCCCAGGCCAGCCAGGAGCGACCCTCATGGCGTGGTGGAACGCTCCTGTCTCGCCTGCTGCTCCCCTCAGCAGTGTGTTTTGGGACATCTGCCTGTTCTGCTCCCTGCTGTCTCTGGTGAATCTCCTCTCCCCCCCGCGACTCTGGCCTATACCCCAGTTCTTAAAAAATAAAGAAAATCAATGGACCATAGGAGTCTCCCTGGTGGCCTAGGGGTTAAGTCTCAGTGCTATGACCACTGCAGCCTGGGTTCGATCCCCAGCCAAGGAGATAACCCACATGGTGCAGCAGGCCTCTACTCTCTCTCCCGCTGCTCCCCTTAGCAGTGGATTTCAGTAAATTCACCTGTTCCCTACTCTATCTGCAGTGAATCCTCTCACCCCCTTGCCCCACACCTCTGACCTACACCACAGTTATTCTATGCAAAAATAAAAAAAGAAGGGGCTTCCCTGGTGGTACAAGGGGTTAAGACACAGCATTATGAAGCTGTCCACAGCCACTGCAGCATGAGTTCAATCCCTGGCCAGGGAGGTGACCCACGTGGCGCAGCAGACTTCTTCTGTCTCTCCCGCTGCTCCCCTCAGCAGTGTATTTCAGTGGATCTGCCTGTTCTGCTCCCCACTCTGTGTCTGGTGAATCCTCTCACTCCCCCATATCTCTGGTCTGCACCCCAGCTCTTGTATGCATAAATAAATCTTAATTAATAAATAATAAAAGAAAATCAAATGACCATAAATGTGAGGGTTCACAAATATATTTTGAATAAAAATGTGAAGAATGAGAAATGTGGGTGGGTATAGAATCTTGTAGATAGAGCCAGACTGGAGCAAGAAGGTATTTTATTTTAAATTCTAAAAGTAACACATTGCCAGCATTAAAAAACTCAGTGTAGAAATATGTAGAGTAAAAAATAAATGTTTCTCTTCAGATTCTCTTCATGCTTAGTCCTTTTGTTGTTTTTAACCACTGCTGACATATCAGAGGGTATATTTAAGGGAAAGGACAAAAAAGTTAAGTGGAGTGCATCTAGATTGGGAAGAGCCTAGAATTATAGATAAAGGATTTTTAAGCATGATTGATTGATTGATTTTTTTAAGATTTATTTATACAAGAACCGGGGTATAGGCCAGATGTGCAGGAAGGTGAGAGGATTCACCAGAGACATAGTAGGGAACAGAACAGGCAGATGGACGAAATACACTGCTGAGGGGAGCAGCGGGCGAGACAGGAGAGGTCTGCCTCGCCATGTGGGCATCTCCATGGTCAGCGGGGATCGAACTGGCACTGCAGAGGTTGCGGACAGCTTCACAGTGCTGCACTTATTCGCCTGCGCCACCAAGGAGGCCCTTTGAGCATGATTTAAAGCAGAGTTAAAAAGACATAGACCTTTTGTTTCCCTTGTCAGATTTACTTCCTCAGCAGAATGGCCAAGAATTGGGAAGATTCAAATTCCAAGAGATGTCAAACCAGGAAGCTTACAAAACCTCAGATGATCACAGTTCTTCTCATGGCACCCTTTCCTCTCAGTTCAGATTTGAGGATCATAATATGATCTCATTGGGAACTAGGATTAAGATAGGGGTAGGAAAATGGAAATGGGAAGCAACAATGAGGGATGACAGACATAACATGGCTGAGAATTTGGAGACTGAAGCAAGATCGTGACATGTTAGGGAATGCAATTAGGACATATGACTTTTACCTCAGAGAAGTTTGAGGTAGAAGTCCCTTCTTCCTTAGAAGTAAAGGGACTTCCTGCCACATTTCTGGCTAGGCTTTCGGTTCTCATTCTATGTATTTGAAGTGCAAATAAAATCTCCCCTTGAACTGAAACTTTCTAACCTTGGCAGCACTTTTAATGTCACTTTTCCACTGATAGGTGGACATTTAAAAAAAAAAATAGAGGTATAAAATGCATATAGAAAAGTAGTAATCTACAGTACTAAAGTACTAAAAGACATATCTAAAGTAGTAGTAT